CAGGGTTCACATTGGCCAGGTAATCATGTCCATCCGCACCAAGCTGCAGAATAAAGAACATGTAATTGAGGCCTTACGCAGGGCCAAGTTCAAGTTCCCTGGTCGTCAGAAGGTGAGTAGTACTACAAGCCCCATCTTACCTTTCTTTGCTTGTCCCTGTTCATCTCACCTTCGTCCTTTCCCATCTCCCTAGATCCACATCTCCAAGAAGTGGGGCTTTACCAAGTTCAACGCGGATGAGTTTGAAGACATGGTAGCTGAGAAGCGCCTCATCCCTGATGGCTGTGGAGTCAAATACATCCCGAATCGTGGTCCTCTGGATAAGTGGCGAGCCCTGCACTCATGAAGGCCTCCATCCACTGAGCTATATCACCCCCGTTCAATCATCCCCAATAAAACTTGCATTATGTCTAATATGTCTTGCCATCTGGTTCTTCATTGGGTGGCACTGGAGTTTGGACGCCAGTGGGTACTAGTGCTGGGATTTGAATTCAAGGTCTTACCAGCTAGTGGGGCATGTGCTCCATCAGTGCTAGCCAGAAGACTCGACTGTGTCTCTGGTGCTGCTGTCAGACTTTAGCCTATCTTTTTTTTTCCAGGTTATGGGGCTTGAACTCTGGGCCTGGGCATTGTCCCTCCGCTCAAGGCTAGCACTCTACCACTTGAGCTACAGCGCCACTTCCTCTAGTGGTTTATTGGACATAAGAGTCTCAGACTTTCCTGCCCGGGCTGCTTTGAACCGCGATCCTCAGATCTCAGCCTCCTGAGTAGTTAGGATGACAGGTGTGAGCCACCGGCGCCTATCTTATTTTCTAACGCCAAAGCAAAAACTCAGATTGAAGGGCTGTACTTGGGAGTAACCACAAGGGAGTCTAGGATTTGAGTTAAAAAAGCACGTGTTAGTCACATCTTGACCAGCAAGCCCTGGCCGTGTTAGGACTGGCTGAGAAGAGGTGACATCCTGAGGGACAGAATGCAGTGTGTGGGGCTTGACTGGCAGCCCTGCTTGCACAGCAGGATTCAGTGAGGCACAGTGGTAATCTACCACCTGAGTCACAACTCCACTTCCAGGTTTTGCTGATAGACTGCTTGGGTTAGCTTGGAGCCTCAGTCCTCAGATCTGAGCCTAGTAGTTAGCATTAAAGATGAGCCACTAGCATCCTGATCCCTTGCTGGTTTTTGTTTTTGTTTTGTTGGTCATGGGGCTTGGATTCTGGGCCTGGGTATTGTCCCTGAGCTCTTCAGCTCAAGGCTAGTGCTCTACCATTTGAGCCACAGCACCACTTAGAGTTTTCTGGTGGTTCATTGGAGATAGGTGTCTCACAGATTTGTAACTGGGCTGGCTTTGAACTTCAATCCTCAGGTCTCAGTCTCCTGTAGCGTGAGCCATTGGTGCCTGGCTCTCACTGGTTTTGAGCTGGTGTCTTGCTATGTTGCTAAGGCTGTTCTTGAACTCATTGCCTCAAGCAGTCCTACCTCAGACTCCCAAGTAGCTGGGCCTTCAGGCCACCACCCACAGCTATTTATTTAGTTCCAGTAATGGGGCTTGACTCAGGACCTTATGTTCTCATTTAGCTTTTTTGCCCAAGGCTGGAACTCTACCATTTGAGTCACACTCCCATTCCCAGGAGGAATTTCCATTTTCAGGATGGCTTTAAATTACAATCTCGCATCTCAGCTTCCTAAATAGTTAGGATGACAGGTGTAAGCCACTGGTGCCTGGCTCCAACTTTTTTTTTTATTAAGATATAATTCATAGTTGGATGCTGGTGGCTCACGCCTAATCCTAGCTACTCAGGGGGCTGACACATGAGGTTCTCTTGTTTATCTTTGCTGCTCAAGACTGCCGCTTTACCAGTTGAGCTACCACTTCTGGCTTTTTGCTGGTTACCTGGAGATAAGAGTTTCATAGAAGTTGGGTGCCGGTGGCTCATGCCTGTAACCTTAGTTAATAAAGAGGCTGAGATCTGAAGATCACAGTTCAAAGTCAGCCCAGGTAAGAAAGACCCTTGAGACTTATTTCCAATTAATCACCAGAAAGCCAGAAGTGGAGCTGTGGCTCAAAGTGGTAGAGCACTAGCCTTGAGCAAAAAAGCTCAGGGAAGTAGGAGAAAAATGAGGGAAGGGGTAATAAGTTTGACAAGAAAGGTATTTAATATCCTGAGTTTAAGCCCAAGTATTGGCGCGTGCATGTGCATGCGCGCACACGCACACCCCAAAGCACTAGTGGTTGAGTGCTTGCTTAGCATGCATGAAGCCCTGGGCCTCAGTACCACATAAACAGAAAAAGCCTGAAGTGGCACTGCCCCACCATTCTACTGTCTTTTTTTTCCCCCTTGGTTATTCTACTGTCTTGATTTTATCAGTAGCCTGGTAGAAGTGAAATGACAGTGTTTAACTTGTTATGACTCATTATTTTAATTTGTCAGTTGTGGGGCTTGAACTCAGCCTATATGCTGTCCTTGAGCTGTTTTGCTCAAGGGTATGGTTTTCTGGTGGTTAATCGGAGATATGCATCTCAAGGCAGCTGGGTGCTGGTGGCTCACATATATAATCCTAGCTACTCAGGAGGCTGAAATCTGAGGGTTGCAGTTCGAAGCCAGCCTGGGCAGAAAAATCCCCGTGAGACTCTTATCACCAATAAACTACTCAAAAAGGCAGAAGTGGTACAGTGGCTCAAGTCTTGAGCACAAAGAGGCTCAGGGACAGTACCCAGGCCCTGAGTTTGAGCCCTGGGACTGGCACAGACAAACAAGTTATGGATTTTCCTGCCTGGGCTGGCTTTGAACCATGATCCTCAGATCTCAGCCTCCTGAGTAGCTAGGATTACAGGTGCAAGCCACTGGTCAATGGCAGTCATTCTTTGAAACTGCTTAATTGGGCTGGAGCCATGGCTTAAGCAGTAGAGCATCTGCTTAACTAGCAGAAACCCAGAGACCTAACCCAGTATACAAAAAAAAAAAAAAAAAAGCTGCACATCATTCTTCCCCGGTCCCCCTTCCCCCTGCCCCAGAAACCTTGAATAGAGTAACCTCTGTGTATCTCTCCCCAGTTGGGATATGTTATCCTTAAGATAAAGTCCCAGTTTGGTGCCTGTGGCTCACGCCTGTAATCTCAGGTACTCAGGAGGCTGAGATCTGAGGGTCATGGTTCAAAGCCAGCCCAGGTAGTGGCACTGTGGCTCAAGTGGTAGAGCATTAGCCTTGAGCACACAGGAGCTCAAGGACAGCACCCAGGCCCAGAGTTCAGGCCCCACGACCGACAAAAAGAAAAAAAAAAAAAAGAATTGAACATGGAAGTCTCACACACTTTCCGCCTTGGGCTGCTTGGAGCCATAATCCTTAGATCTTAGCCTCTTGAGTTGCTGGGACTACAGGTGTGCTACAGGTGTGAGTCACTGGTGCTAGGCCCAGATTTCATACTTGAGGGGAAAACGAAAAAATTGTTTCCAGATTCCAGGGGGCCGTCCTGAGAGCCAACCCCCGTGGGCCAGTGAACAGGCTCTGGCTCCTCCCCCCGTGGCGGACCCAGCGGGCGGGCTTAAGTCTGGGAACAGACGCCCTGCCCGCCCACCGTCCATCCCAGGCCCCGCCTTTCCCGGACCGTGTGGGAAGATGTTCCAGCCGGCCCGCAGCGTGAGTCACGGAGCAATCCTTTAATGAGCAGAAGGACAGCGTCGACATGGAACCGGCGCAGAGGGAATCCAGATGTGTGCACCTCAGCTCCACCTCTGGCGTCCCTTGGGTGGAGGAGTAAGGCAGCTCTTAGCAGGGAATTGGCCCTGTTCGGGCACAGGAGGTCCTCGATTGCCAGCACCTACCTTGACTTCACGTTCTTAGGCATTGCATCCAGCATTGGGTCGGTGAAGACCTAAAGCAAGGGACAGTCGGCGCTGTGTGGGCGGTGGGATCCGTCCACTCAAGTCCTGACTGGATGAATGGTTACACCAGAACAGCGTTCCTGTTGGTCATCTTGAAAATATTTTGCAGCTGTGCGCCTGTGGCTCACGCCTGTAATCCTAGCTACTCAGGAGGCTGAGATCTGAAGATCGCGGTTCAAAGCCAGCCCGGGGGACCAGGAAATCGGAAGTGGCGCTGTGGCTCAAGTGGTAGAGCGCTAGCCTTGAGCTGAAAAGCTCAGGGACAGCGCCCTTGCCCAAAGCTCAGGCCCCATGACCGACAAAAAAAAAAAAAAAAAGACTCCTATCTCCAATTAACCACCAAAATTCTGAAAGTGTAGCTGTGGCTCAAATGGTTGAGTGCTAGCCTTGACCAAAAAAGCTCAGGAACAGTGCCCAGGTCCTGAGTTCAAGCCCCAGGATCAGCACAAAAAGAAAAAGGAAAAAAATTTATAGAGGATGGCTTTATTGTATTTTTCTTGTCAGTTGTGGGGCTTGAACTCTGGGCCTGGGCGCTGTCTCTCAGCTCTTCAGCTCAAGGCTAGCACTCTACCACTTGAGCCACAGCGCCACTTCCGGCTTTTTTCTTTTTGCTTACGTGGTGCTGAGGAATCGAACGAGCGACAAAAAAAAAGGATGGATGACAAATATGGTTTGGAACTAGTCTTAGCATTTGACAGGATTGTGATAGTATAAAATGCCATGTGTTGATGTAAAATATATCACATATGTAGAAAAAGCTTACTGTATCACTATATGTTATACATTGTATGTACTATCACATATTACATTCTGCATTGCATATATGCATCATATGGTACACGCATGCAGTAGTATAAGATTGCACGTTTATAATTATGTAAAATTACATAATGTAATACATATGAATTGTCCATGTTGCCTATATTATGTAATAATACTAAAATATCATAAATGGTTCATCCTATGTTGTGGGAATATTCCCTCAATAAAAAGATGTGATCACACCAGCTGTTGTACTGCGCGGCCCTTGTCACCTCAAAGAATAGAACTAAGGACTTGCCAGAGTGGGGCGGGGCGGGACCGGATCCGCCTCCACTGCCGTCAAGCGGCGCGATTTGCGACAAGCGGCCGGGAGCCTGGCGTGGTCCCCTTGGCTTGCTTTCCGGCGGGTGTGAGATCCAGGCGCCTTTACCATCCCGTTTCCAGCTTGGTGCCGCTCCGACTGCAGGTCTGGCATCTGGCCCCGGAGACGGCTGCTGTGTGGGGAGACAGCGGAGCTAGGCGGATGTTGACACACGAGGTGACCTTGGTGTAGTCTTCCGTGGTGTCGAGCAACGGCCCCGGTTCGTGCGCGGGCCTGTTCAAGGTCCTCTTTTGAGTGGCTGAGGACACAGCTAGGTCGGTGCGAGTGGCTGCGCTGTGGCGGGAGCACCCGAACGCGCGGGGGGGGCCGGAGGAGATGCCCCTCCACGTGAAATGGCCATTCCCCGCCGTGCCGCCGCTCACCTGGACCCTGGCCAGCAGCGTCGTCATGGGCCTGGTGGGCACGTACAGCTGCTTCTGGACCAGTGAGTGAGCCAGAGACTACAGCAGGGTCTGGCACGGATCCCTGCCCCCCCCTACTCCTGGCCAAAATTGGGGGGACTGGGTTTGGGGAAATTGGGAGGACGTAGCCTGGCAGAGGCAAACTTTGGGCCAGGGTAGAGTAAATGGAAACCCACAGCACCCCTCCTTTCTTCCCAGAGTATATGAACCACCTCACCGTCCACAACAAGGAAGTGCTCTATGAGCTCATCGAAAACCGAGGCCCTGCCACCCCCCTCATCACCGTCTCCAATCACCAGTCCTGCATGGATGACCCGCATCTCTGGGGTAACTGGGTTAGACTGCTTGGCACAGGGAGGCACGGAAAGAAGCCAGATGGGCCAATAGAAAAAGAATAAATTCGCTTCTTCCTGGGGTCTTTGCATAGTCCTGGCACTTGTGATTCTGCAGTGCCTCAGGGATGGAAACTTGGTTTGTGGAGAGGAGCTCAGAAAATTGGAAGGAATGTGCAAATAGCCACACGGCTTTTTTATTTTTTTCCTTCTCATTTTACTCTTATGCCACTGGAACTCTGTTCTCTAAGTTGTTGGGTGCCCTACACAGTCTTGGGAACAGTTTGTGGGAGGGAGAGGATACTCGCAGGACAGGGTATCATGTCAAAGATGTTCACACAGCTAGGAGCTGTGTGACTTGCAGTCTGGTTCCAGCACTGTACTTGGGTTTGTACCCCTCAACCAGCCCCATTTAGGAGCCTGCTTGCCTCACCTAGAAATTCCTGTTTATTTATTTATTTTTAATTTAGTACTGAGGGATGAACTCAAGGCCACTCAGTTGTTGGGCACTTACTCTAGCCCTAAGCCATGCCTCCAGCCCTAGAAATGCCAATTTTGCTGATTTTGTGCATGGTTACTTGGTTCAGGTCATCAGATGGCTGGGTGACCCATCAGAGAGAAGGGTGCCCACTGCTGAAAGGAGGGAGGGGTCAGACTGTCTATACTACAGCTCATGGGAAGCCACTTGGTCGTATTGGAGCCTAGATGAGAAGAATCTGTGCATTGCCACAGGTGGACACGGGGAGGAAAGGAAGGAAGCCCTGGAGCTGTCCAGTAGCCTGGACCAGGGTGGTCACAGTGACATTGATGGAGAGGCTTAGAAGAATGGGCATGGTTAAAATATATCAGGGGGTGGTTGCTGGTGACTCACACTTGTAATCCTAGCTACTCAGAAGGCTGAGATCTGAGGGCTGGGAAGGTGGCTCAGTGGTAGAGCACTTGCCTTGCATGCCTGAGGCCCTGGGTTCGATTCCTCAGCACCACATAAGCAAAAAGAAAAAAGCCGGAAGTGGCGCTGTGGCTCAAGTGGTAGAGTGCTAGCCTTGAGCTGAAGAGCTGAGGGACAGCACTCAGGCCCAGAGTTCAGGCCCCACGACTGGACCCCCCCCCCCAAAAAAAAAAAAGAAGGCTGAGATCTGAGGATCACAGTTTGAAGCTGGGGTAGTAAAGTCCGTGAGACTCTTATCTCCAATTAATCACAGAAAAAGCCGGAAGTAGAGCTGTGGTGAGTAGCCAGGATTACAGGTGTGAGCCACCAGTTGCTGGCACTGTGCCCAGGAGGAAAGTCTGGAGACTCTTATCTCCAATCAACCACCCACAAACTGGAAGTGGAGTTGCCTCTCAAAGTGGTAGAGTGATAGCCTTGAGCACAAAAGTTCAGGCACAGTGCCCAGGTCCTGAGTTCAAGCCCCATGTTTATTTCAGGGAAATAAACAGATTTGGGGATAAGTAAGCTGTGGAGGTTAGGGGAAACTTGAGGTTTCAACTCAAAGCTCTAGGAGATGCTATGTTAGCTTGTAGAAAATGTTGCTGCCCTTCACCCACATTCCTTGAAATAGGGTAACAAAAGGATTCTCAGTGAAGACAAGGTGAGTTGGAGCGTAAAGCCTTTCTTCTCCTCTAGGGATCCTGAAACTCCGCCATATCTGGAACCTGAAGTTGATGCGTTGGTGAGGAGAAATGGGCCCCTTGAGTTGCCCACATGTCTGCCCAGATTTGCCCTTGTCCTCCTCTGCCCAGGAGAGGGCATCCAGCAGTCCAGGCAGGGTATGGGGCGGGGCCCCGCAGGCCCTTCATCTGGGTCTGTGCATGCTGATGTTGGTGGGCATCGTGCTGGGGGTGGGCAAGGAGCAGTGAGTCTGTGGGAAGGGATGACTGAGGCTGTCTGTTTTAGGACCCCAGCAGCTGCAGACATCTGCTTCACTAAGGAGCTACATTCCCACTTCTTCAGCTTGGGCAAGTGTGTGCCCGTGTGCCGAGGTGAGCTGCTTCTCTGGGAGCAACTTCTAAGGGTTATCAGGCCTCCCTTGGGATAAGGAGGCTGGCGGCCAGTGCCTCTGTCCTCGAGGGACCCCTGCAAGACAATATGGAAGCCATAACATGGCAGCAGAAATATCAGGGGCTGCTTAGAGGAGATATGGTGCATAGGAGGTATCTGTTCTCTACAGCTGCTTGTATGTGCTTGGAGCTGAGGTGTGCAAATTCAAGGAGGCATCATCCAAGGCCTCTTCAGGAAGTTGATACAGGTTCACTGATGGCAGAGAGTGCATATGTGTCTGTGTCTGTGTGTGCGCATGCGCGCACGTGTGCGTGTACATGCGCACGTGTGCCAGTCCTGGGGCTTGAACTCAAGGCCTAGGTACTGTCCTTGAGCTTCTTTTGCTCAAGGCTAGCAGTCTACCACTTGAGCCACAGCACCACTTCCAGCTTTTTCTGTTTATGTGGTACTGAGGAATCAAACCCAGGGCTGCATGCATGCAGGGCAAGCACTCTACCACTGAGCCACATTCCTAGCCCTCCATTTTTCTTTATACATAAGACTTTGTAATACATTTAAGTAATGGAGTGATTTCACATAAGCTACAAAAGGAGTAAAAATAGCATTTTTAGCATTTAGCAAAAGCTAAAAAGTATGAAATGCTGCTCCAAAGGCACATTATTTTCCATCCTCATCTCAAGCTCGATAGCTAGGTTGCCTAAGTGGATTTAGATAAAGAGGGAATAGCCCCTATGATGACTTCTGAGATCTGTTTGTATATTATGACCTCAAGAATGAAAACTGAACTACTCAGGAGGAGCTCAAGGACAGTACCTAGGCTCTGAGTTCAAGCTCCAGGACCAGCAAAGAAAAAAAAAAAAGAATGGGAACTGCTATATTTCTATACCTTGAGAAAAGTTCAGTAGGTAATCACTCTTCATCTCTACTCCTGAGTAAGCTGCAGGCCAGGTACCTGTTTAGATTGGGTTGAGCTTCCTGGAATCCTAAACTTTCCAAAGAATAGGTCTTTCAGAGAACAGATTAAGAATCCATTTCTAGGCCAAATGCCAATGGCTCACACCTGTCATCCTAGTTGCTCATGAGGCTGAGATCTGAGGATCACAGTTCAAAGTCAGCCCAGACAGAAAAATCAATTAACTGCATAACTGTCTGCTCAAATGGTAGAACACTAGCCTTGAGCAAAAAAGGGCTCAGGGACAGCACTCAGACAATGAGTTCAAGCCCCAGGACCAGCTATACACACATACAACACACACACACACACACACACACACACACATTTCTAGCTGGGCATGGTAATCCTACTTGGCAGGCAGAGATAGAGAGGATAGTAATTTGAGGTCAGCTCAGGCACAAAAATAGACATTGAGAGACTCCATCTTAACCAACTTAGAAAAAAAATGCTGGGTGTGGTGATATGCATCTGTCTCCTCAGCTATATGGAAAGGGTATACAGGATGATCGCAGCAGATCCTTCTCACAGGGGCACCAGAGTGAGGCCCTGGCCTCCAGCATCATTCCTCTTGCTGGCCCCTCCCTTTTGAGGCTTCCCTGAAAACAAAAACCTCTCTGAAGTATTTTTGGGCTAGAGTAAACCATCAAGCACTTAGGAAAAAAATCTTGTAGACAAGCCGGGCGCTGGTGGCTCACGCCTGTAATCCTAGCTACTCAGGAGGCTGAGATCTGAGGATCGCGGTTCAAAGCCAGCCCGGGCAGGAAAGACCGTGAGACTCCTATCTCCAATAAACCACCAGAAAACCGGAAGTGGCGGTGTAGCTCAAGTGGTAGAGCACTCGCCTTGAGCTGAAGAGCTGAGGGACAGCGCCCAGGCCCAGAGTTCAAGCCCCATGACCGACAAAAAAAAAAAACAAACACACAAAAAAAACAAACAAAAATCTTGTAGACAACAAAACCTCCAACAGAGTCTGTTTCACTTTTCTTTCCTTTTTTTTTTTTTTTGGTTGGCTGTGGAGCTTGAACTTGGGGCCTGGGCACTATCCAGGAGCCAGTTTTGCTCAAGGCTAGTGCTCTACCACTTTGAGCTACCGTTCCACTTCTGGCTTTTTCTGGGTAGCTAACTGGAGATAAGACTCTCATGGACTTTCCTGCCTGGGCTGGCTTAGAACTGTGATCCTCAGATCTTAGTCTCCTGAGTAGCTAGGATTACAGGTGTGAGCCACTGGTGTCTGACAAGGCTATTTTACTTTGAGAGGAGGAGAATATTGAACAAAGGTGTGAATGAATGGTGTGGTGGGAGAGATGAGCAAGTCTGACAAGGGGAATTTAGGGCGGAGTCCCCCAGGTGTGAGCTTCAGGGAGAGGAGCTGGTTTTGTGTGGAGAGTGTTGAAGGCAGGCTCCTCTTCCCCAGAAAATGGAGACTGAAGGGAACAGACCTTTTTCTGCAGGAGATGGAGTGTACCAGAAGGGGATGGACTTCATTTTAGAGAAGCTCAACCATGGGGACTGGGTCCACATCTTCCCAGAAGGTCAGTGGGGCTGGCTGGCTGGAGGCCTGGGTGTGCCTGAGCGTGGCTCCCAAGCTCCCCTTGTGCGCTCTCTCTAGGGAAAGTGAACATGAGTTCCGAGTTCCTGCGCTTCAAGTGGGGTGAGTGCCGTGGCCGCGCCTCTGGCTGGGTGTGTGGGGCAGGTGATGAGTCCACTGTGCGAGCTTTCACTTGGGAGCAGCAGGGGAAAGCACTGCACGGGGGCTGTGAGGGAAGTGTGGCCTGGCTCATGACACTGCCTTGCCTCTCCCCCGGACAGGAATTGGACGCCTGATTGCCGAGTGTCACCTAAACCCCATCATCCTGCCGCTGTGGCATGTTGGTGAGCCTTCCCTTGGTGGTGTCTGAGGTGGCAGAGAGAGGGCAACTGGGGTGGAGGACCTAGGACTCCCTGTGGCCCCTGGCTGCCCTGTTCCCCTTAGTGACTGGCCTCCTGTCTACCACGCTGCAGGAATGAATGATGTCCTTCCCAATAGCCCACCCTACTTCCCCCGCTTTGGCCAGGTGAGTAGATCTGCTGACCCCTGTCTGTCTCTGTCTGCTGGGCCGCCTGCTGTCTCTTCTGAGCCATACTCCAGAGGCCAGATGTGGGAGGAGCTGAGCTTTAGCCACAATAGAGGAACTGAGGGGAGCCTAGATAGGAATTTCCTGGCACCAAGAGGTTTACCATGGTAACAGAAAACCAGGCCTGGGTAGGGATAGGCTGCGGGGTTGGAATGGTGCAAATCAGATATGACAAGTGCCAGGACTGGGATTGTGTTGGGCTGTGCGTGCGTGTCTGTGTCTTTGTGTGTGTGTGTGTGTGTGTGTGTGTGTGTGTGTGTGTGTGTGCGCACCAGTTTTAAGGCTTGAACTCCAGGCCTGGGCAATGTTGCTGAGCTTTTTTTTGTTCAGGGCTAGCACACTCTACCACATGAGCCACAGATCTACTTCAGGCTTTTTGCTGGTTCATTGGAATAAAGAGTCTCACAGTCTTCACTGCTGGGGCTGGCTTTGAGCCATGATCCTCAGATCTCAGCCTCCTACGTAGCTAGGATTACAGGAGTGAGACACCAGTGCCCAGCTCTACCTGCGTATTTTAAGGAGGGAAAGAGGCCTAGGGGAGCACATAATATGTCAGAGTAGGACTTGGCTCTGGCTCCCCAGCTTGCTTGGGCTGGGACTGGGGACAGTTCCTTGCTCCTTGTCACCTTCGGCGGCCGGCCTCCCCACAGAAAATCACCGTGCTGATCGGGAAGCCCTTCAGTGCACTGCCTGTGCTCGAGCGGCTCCGGGCAGAGAACAAGTCAGCTGTGAGTGTCCTCCTTGTAGCTGTCCTCAGCCCTCCCACCCCTCAGCCTCCCAGGGCACCTTGGCCAAGGTCCCTGAGGGGTACAGGGCAGCCCCGTCCTCATCCTTAGGTGGAGATGCGCAAAGCTCTGACAGACTTCATTCAAGAGGAATTCCAACGCTTGAAGACACAGGCCGAGCAGCTCCATCACCACTTCCAGCCTGGGAGATAGGCGTTGTCCCACTCAGTCTGGCTGTGGAATCCTCAGCTCCAAGAAGTGGCTGTGTCCTCTAAGGCATGGGAAGAGGCAGAGCTTGGACCTCAGTACCAGCCTGGTTGGCTCTCAGCGCCACCATTGGCTTTTTTGCCTTGCATGAACCTGGGGCTGGAGGATGGATGCTGCTTTTAGCTAAGATGCGGGTTTTAGGCAGATTGGCTCCTAACCACTACTGGATGCTCTCTTCTGCTTGGTGAGCATCTAGCTCCTCTGTGGTTCTTTAGTTAAAGGAGGGCTCGACTCTTCCTCACACTTGTCCAAGAAGGCAAGAAGAGGCTTAGGCAGGGGCCTCCTTCCTTCTTGCCTTCCCACTTCCTCTCCTGGGGTTGGCGGGGAGTGAAGGAGGCAGGTGAGCAATGAGTAGGGTGGGGGAGGTGGGGCCTGGCTAGGACTATGGCCCAAGGGCCATAAGGCCCCTAGGCCTGGCTCCCACCTGCCTACCCTTGCCAGTGGAAGAGCTGCTCATTACTTCCTCAGGGATGGCTGTCAGCCATGTCTTCTTTCTGCCTGAGCTTCCCCCACTGCAGAGCCTGTCTTTAGGCAAGGCCTGTCCTTGGGTCACCTGCAGACAGGAAGAAAAGTTCTCGGCCAGAAGTCAAGCCCAGCCGAGCAGAGCCTGCAGCAAGGGCCTAAGAGCTGGCCACTCATCGCCGTGCTGGGGCCCGCCCACTTTTCTATCCTTTCTGTCTTGGTACCTCTCATGTCCTGGAGTCTAGATTTTCATGTTTTTTAAAACAATAAAGCATCTATGTTGTGCCATTGTACCTTTGGCCTTTCTGTAGGGATGGGACGTGACCCACTGGACCAGAAAGGAGGATTCATCCCAGTTCCAGTGGCTCACACCTATAACTCTAGCTACTCAAGAGGCTGAGATCTGAGCATCTTGGTTTGAAACTAGCCTGAGTAGGAAAGTCCATGAAACTCTTATTGCCAATTAATCACAGAAAAAGATGGAAGTGGTGCTGTGATTAAGTGGTAGAGTTCTAGCCTTGAGCAAAAGGAGCTCAGGGACAGTGCCCAGGCCAAGTTCAAGCCCAGTACTGGTACACATGCGCATACACACACACACACAGAAAGAAAGAAAGAAAAATAAAGCTAATTAGATCAAGCTGGTGGGGCCACATTTAGGAGACCCTAAGTGTGAATTGACTCCATAATACCGAGGTCACTTTAAGGAGGTAGAAGGGTTTGGAAGTTCCAGAGAGTGTCCAGCTAAGAACATCTAGTACTGTGATTTTTTTTTTTTTTTGGTCGTGGGGCTTGAACTCTGGGCCTGGGTGCTGTCCCTCAGCTCTTCAGCTCAAGGCAAGCACTCTACCACTTGAGCCACAATGCCGTTTCTGGTTTTCTGAGTGGTTCATTGGAGATAAGAGAATCGTGGACTTTCCTGCCCAGGCTGGCTTTGAACTGCCATCCTCAGATCTCAGCTTCCTGAATAGTTAGGATTACAGGCATGAGCCACCGGTGCCCAGCTAGTACTGTGATCTTGGGTTGGGGGAAGGGAGATGAACCTAGGTAGGAGCGAGAAGATCCAAGATGCTGGAACTCCTGGGCATGTCTGAGCAAAATCAAGTTCTTGAAAGAAACCCATGTTCCTTTTAAGCCCCCAGTTTGTCCATAAACTAAATAAAAAAGACTTCATAGCTGGGCACTGGTGGCTCACGCCTGTAATCCTAGGTATCCAACATCTGAGGACTATGGTTTGAAGCCAGCCTGGGCAGCATAGTCCATGAGACTTCCAAATAAACTACTAAAAACCTGGAAATGGTACTGTGGCTTAAGTAGTAAAGTGCTAGCCTCGGGCAAAAAATGCTCAGGAACAGCACCTAGGCCCTGAGTTCAAACTCCAGGACTGGTATACACTCATGAAAAAGACCTCACAATGGTCACCAACCCTAATAAAGAAATTACTGCTATTTCGGTAAGCAGGAACAAGGATAGGTTGAAATTCTTGTGTACTTCCAAGACTCATAGGATTATACACAATATTAACAGTATATCATTATAGAGAAAGAAAGGATGTAACTAAATTGTTGCTGGGCAGTGGTGGCTCTAGCCTGTAATCCTACCTACTGCAGAGGCTGAAACCTGAGGATCTAGCTAAAACCTAGCCTGGGCTGGAAAGTATGATATTCTTATTTCCAACTAAGCACCAAAAAGCCAGAAGTAGAGTTGCAGCTCAAGTGGTAGAGTGCTCGTGTTGAGTACAAAAGCTAAGGGACAGTGCCCAGGCCCTGAGTTCAAGCTCTAGGTGAGGCATACAAAAACAAATGTAATCAAATTGTTTTAAGAATTGGAGCAGAGGGGAAGGGGAATAAAAAATGCTGAAACAAGGACAAAGGGTGACCCATTGCAACAATGATACAAGACACTGTTAGAAATGAACCTTACAACTTTGTGTGTGGTGGGGGGGGAGTGGGGAAGGTAGGGGAAGGAAGGGATTGTCGGAGAAAACAAAGGAGGGGGTAACAATGCCCGGCAAGAAATATACTCATCACCTTACTGATGTAATAGTAATCTCTCTGTACAGCATCTTTACAAGAAAATTTAAAAAAAATTAAGAAAATAAAATTTTAAAAAAGAAGTGGAGGGCTGGGAAGGTGGCTCAATGGTAGAGCACTTGCCTCACATGCATGAAGCCCTGGGTTCAATTCCTCAGTACCACATAAACAGAAAAAGCCAGAAATGATGCTGTGGCTCAAGTGGTAGAGTGCTAGCCTTGAGCAAAAAGAAACTCAGGGACAGTGCCCAGGCCGAGTCCAAGCCCCAGGACTGGCTCCCCGCCAAAAAAAAGTGGAGGATGAGAGGGGAAGAATGGAAGAGTAAGTTTGATTCTGGTATACGGTATGGATGTATTGAAATGTCCCAAGAACTCCCCTTGTACAATGAATATATGTTAGTAGCAAATCTTTTTTTTTTTTTTAAGATAGAACCACAGAAATGAACCAGTAACAAAAGAACATTCAGACAATAGGACTGCTGCAATTATATTGAAATTAGTATTTCAAAATGAATGCTTTTTAATCGCCAAAAGAGCCAGGTGTGGTGGTTCATGCCAATAATCCTAGTACTTGGAGGGGCAAAAGCAGGAGGATTGAGGGCTGGGAAGGTGGCTCAGTGGTAGAGCGCTTGCCTTGCAAGCCTGAGGCCCTGGGTTCGATTCCTCAGCACTACATAAGCAAAAAGAAAAAAGCTGGAAGTGGCGCTGTGGCTCAAGTGGTAGAGCGCTAGCCTGGAGCTGAAGAGCTGAGGGACAGCGCCCAGGCCCAGACTTCAGGCCCCACGAACGGACCCAAAAAAAAAAAAAGCAGGAGGATTGAGAGTTTGAGGGAAACCTTTGCTTCATCATCACTTTCCAGGCCAGCTTGGGCTACATACTAGTCAGACCTTACCTCCAAAAAAACAAAATAAAGCAAAATTACCAAAGGGAGCCAGGCCCTGGTGGCTCACACCTATAATCGTAACTACTCAGGAGGCTGAGATCTGAGGATCGTGGTTCAAAGCCAGCCCAGGCAGGAAAGTCTATGAGACTCTTATCTCCAACAAACCACCAGAAAAACGGAAGTGGTGCTGTGGCTCAAAGTGGTAGAGGGCTAGATAGTTTTGCAGTGCTAGGGGTGGAACACAGGTTAGGAGAGAATGAGAAGCGTTGGGAATGCTGAATTCTTGGCCTGGTGGTGCCACAAGTCTGTTTACTCTGTAGTCACTGGTGCATCTTCATGTTGGGCTGTTGTTTTTTGTTTTTGCTTTTGTCTTTAGGGGATTATATTTCAAATCAGAAGGTTTTGTTAAGAAAGCTCAGAGCTGGGTGCCAGTGGCTCACGCCTGTAATCCTAGCTACTCAGGAGGCTGAGACCTTAGGATCGTAGTTCAAAGCCAGCCCTGTCAGGAAAATCCACGAGACTCATCTCCAACAAACCACCAAAAAATCCGAAGTGGCACTGTGGTTCAAATGGTAGAGTGCTAGCCTTGAGCTGAAGAGCTCAGGGTCAGTGCCCAGGCCCAGAGTTCAAGGCCCACGAATGCCAAAAAAAAATAAATAAATAAAAGCAAAAGCTCAGCAGGGGTTGCAGGGCACAGGGAGTTTCCAGCGTTGAATCATGCATTTCATACACGTGAAACCTACAGTGTGTGGCTGTGAGGTCTCCTGATCCCTGAATCACAGGCACTTCCAGTTCTGGTATCTTGCCTAGTAGTGGGTAAGGAGGATGACTCTTCAAATATGTCAAACATCTTGCATTTTGCATCATGACACACAGCAGGAATGCTTCCAGTGTCTGCCAACAGAACAACCTCAGCAGTTGAGGGAGGCTCACACCTGGAATTTGAAGTACTGGCACCAGGGAGGAGTTAATAGTTCCTGCAGTTGGCTATTGGGCAAACAAGCAGGCTGTTGAGGACGCTGAGCAGGATGATGACATTTTAGAAACCTCAGGTACCCCAGCACTGGTAGCTCACGCCTGTAATACTAGCTGCTCAGGAGGCTGAGATCTGATCACAGCTCAAAGCCAGCCCAGGTAGAAAAGTCTGTGAGGTTCTTTTCCCTCCCTCCCCTTCCCTTCTCTCCCCTCCCCTCCCCTCTCCCCCACCCCTCCCCTCCCTCCCTCCCTTCCTTCCTTCCTTCCTTCCTTCCTTCCTTCCATCATGAGGCTTGAAGTCAAGGCCCAGGCACTGTCCAGGAGCTCTTCACTCAAGGCTAGTGCTCTACCACTTTGAGCCACAGCTTTACTTCCAGTTTCCTGGTGTTAATTGAAGATGAGAATCTCACAAACTTTTGTCTGCTGGGGCTGGTTTTGAACTGTGATCCTTAGATTTTATCCTGCTGAGTAGTTAGGATTGCAGTGTGAGCAACTGGTGCCCCGTGTCCCTCTTTTTTTTTTTTTGTCCGCCATGGGGCTTGAACTCTGGACTTGGGTGCTGTCCCTGCGTTCTTCAGCTCAAGGCAAGTGCTCTACCGCTTGAGCCACAGTGCCCCTTCCAGTTTTCGAGTGGTTTATTGGAGATAAGAGTCTCATGGACTCCTGCCTGGGCTGGCTTTGAACCGTGATCCTCAGGTTTCAGCCTCCTGAGTAGCTAGGATTACAGGTGTGAGCCACCGGAGCCGGCTTCCCTCTTCCTATAATGATACTATTCATTGGATTATGGCCAATTCTTACCCAATATGACTTTATGATAACTTGATTACATCTACAAAGACTCTCTTTCCTAACTAGGCTGTGTTTACAGATGCTAGATAGACAGGAATTTGGGAAGGAGAACATTTGATACAGTTCATACTGGGAAACAGAGTGAGGGAAGGGATGACATTGTTCAAAAAGAAATGTACTCATGGCTGGGAGTATGCCTTAGTAGGAGAATGCTTGCCTAGCATGCATGAAGCCCTGGGTTCAATTCCATCATACCACATAAACAGAAAAAGCCCAAAGTGCCACTGTGGCTCAAGTGGTAGAGTGCTAGCTTTGAGCAAAAGAAGCCTAGGGACAGTGCCCAGGCCTTGAGTTCAAGCCCCAGGACTGGAAAAAAAAAGAAAAAGAAAGAAAGAAATGTACCCACACTTGTGTGTGGGTGGCTCACACTTATAATCCTAGATACTCAGGAGGCTGAGATCTGAGGATCATCGTTTAAAGCCAGACTGGGCAGAAAAGTCCATGAGACTTTCTTTTTTTTTTTTTTGGTCCGGTTGTGGGGCCTGAACTCTGGGTCTGGGCACTGTCCCTCAGCTCTTCAGCTCAAGGATAGCGCTCTACCACCTGAGCCACAGCACCACTTCTGGCTTTTTTTCTTTTTGCTTATGTGGTGCTGAGGAATCGAACCCAGGGTCTCAGGCATGCAAGGCATGCGCTCTACCACTGAGCCAACTTCCCAGCCCCACCATGAGACTTTTTCTTTTGTCGGTCACAGGGCTTGAACTCTGGGCCTGGGCACCATCCCTCAGCTCTTCAGCTCAAGGTTACCACTGTACCGCTTGAGCCACAGCACCACTTACATTTTTTTCTGTTTATGTGGTGCTGAAGAACTGAACCCAGGACTCATACATTCAAGGCAAGTGCTCCACCACTGAGCCACCTTCCTAGCCCTGACAAGACTCTAGAAAACTGAAAGTGGGGGCTGGGAAGGTGGCTCAGTGGTGGAGCGCTTGCCTTGCATGCATGAGGCCCTGGGTTCGATTCCTCAGCACCACATAAACAGGAAAAGCCAGAAGTGGTGTTGTGGGCTCAAGCAGTCAAACGCTCGCCTTGAGCTGAAGAGCTGAGGGACAGTGCCCAGGCCCAGAGTTCAGGTTTCTGACCAGCAAAAAAAACCCCAAAAAAACGGAAAGTGGAAATGTGGCTCAAAGTGGTAGAGTGCTCACCTTGAGTGAAAGAGCTCAGTGACAGTACTCAGGTCCTGAGTTCAAGCCCCACAATCCACCAAAAAAAAATAATGTACTCATTACCTGATTTATGTATCTATAACCCACCTATGTATTCCTTTTATAATAACCATGCGAATATTTTTAAAAAGCTTACTGAGTTAGGGGTGTAGGTGAGTTGTAGAGATCATGCTCAATCCCCTGGTAAAATTACAGTGAACATTCAAATACACCCATTTCCTAGGTTCTGCTTTTAACATTTTAGAATCCCTTATCACACATCTTTTGCCTAGTGTTTTTCCATTTTATTTTTGGTGCATTTCAAGGTAAGTTACAAACAGAAATTCACTTTTTCTTTTTCTTTTTGTCGGTCATGGGGCTTGAACTCTGGGCCTGGGCGCTGTCCCTCAGCTCTTCAGCTCAAGGCGAGCGCTCTACCACTTGAGCTACAGCGCCACTTCCAGTTTTCTGATGGTTTATTGGAGATAGGAGTCTCACTGTCTCTCCTGCCTGGGCTGGCTTTGAACCGTGATCCTCAGATCTCAGCCTCCTGAGTAGCTAGGATTACAGGCGTGAGCCACCAGCGCCAGGCAGAAATTCACTTTTTCTTAGCCAGCATACATATTCTGAAGGAGAGAATTCAAGATTTGGTTCTGTTTATCTGTGTTTGTGTGTGTGTGTGTGTGTGCATGCGCACGTGTGTGTGTGTGTGTGTGTGTGTGTGTGTGTGTGTGTGTATGCTAGTACTAAGCTTGAACTCAGAGCCTGGGCACTATCCCTGAGCTTTTTTTGCTCAAGGCTAGCACTTTACCATTTGAGCCACAGCTCCACTTCTGGCTCTCTTTTTGGTGATTATTTGGAGATAGAGTCTCAAAAGCTTTCCTGCCAGAGCTGTCTTTGAACTGCGATTCTCAAATCTCAGCTTCCTGAGTACCTAGGATTACAGGCATGAGCCACAGGTGTAGGGCTGTGATTATCATTTTGTTTGTAATAATTACTATCTGAGAGAACAAAAGACTATGGAAAACAATACAAGTCTCCCACCCAATTCGTTTGATACTATGTCTTTCATTTTCTGAGTGTAGCTGTTACTCTTTCTTTTCCGTTATATAAATGTCAGGGAAGGACAATCTTATACAATTTTACACTAAGTCACTACTAACAAACTGGGATTGCTCTTGTCAAAGCGGCCAAATGAAATAAATAGTTTCCTAGCCTGGCTCCAGTGGCTCATGCCTGTAATCCTAGCTACTCAGGAGGCTGAGATCTGGCAATTGTGGTTCCAAGTCAGCTTGGGCAGGGAAGTCCATGAGACTCTTATTTCAAATTAACCACTAGAAAGCCAGAAATGATGCTGTGGCTCAAAGTGATAGAGCACTAGTCTTGAGTGAAAGAGTTCCAGGTCAAGCCCCATGACCAACAAAAAAAGAAAGTTTCCTCTATTTTTTTTTTTGGGAGGGGTGGGTGGTTGTAGATTGGGATTCCTACCTTCCATTTTCTCTCATGGGCTAGCACTCCAACAAGTAAGTCACACCTCCAACCTCAAGGGCATTGTGGTTTTTTGCTTTTGTTTTTTGGTACCAGTCGTGGGGCTTGAACCCAGGCCAGTCTGGGCCTGGGAACTGTCCTGGAGCTTCTTTTGCTCAAGGATAGCAGTATACCACCTGGGCCATAGAGCTGTTTATGACTTTTTCTGAGTAGTTTATTGGAGATGACGACTTCCCTGCCCAGGCTGGCTCTGAATTGTGATCCTCAGATCTCAGCTTCCTGAGTAGAAAGGATTATAGGCATGAACCACCAGTACCCTGCAGGGTAGGGTTTTTTTTTTTTTTGGTGGTGTTTGAACTCTGGGCCTGGGCGCTGTCCCTTAGCTCTTCAGCTCAAGGCTAGGGCTCTACCACTTCCAGCTTTTTCTGCTTATGTGGTGTTGAGGAATTGAACCCAGGGCCTCATGCATGCGAGGCAAGCATTCTACCTCTGGGCCACCTTCCCAGCCCTGTTCCTTAGTTTTTTGTGCTCAATACTAGCACTCTATTACTTGAGCCATAGCTATATGCTGAGGAATCGAACCCAGGGCCTCATGCATGCAAGGCAAGCAATCTACCACTGAGCCACCTTCTCAGTCCCCTACTGGTTTTGAGTTCAGATGGTTCATTAGAGATGAGTCTCATGGACTTTTCTTCCTCAGGGTAGCCGTGACTCTTGGATTTCAGCCTCCTGCATAGCTAGTATTACAAGTGAGAGGCACCAACATCCAGCTGGTTATTTCTTTCTTCCCTCCCTTTTTTTTTGCTGTTATTGATGAAAAGTGTTTTCTGTTTCTTTGCTTTCTTGTATTTTTGTTTGTTGTTGTCTTGTTTATCTGTCTTTGTGAGGATACGAGAATACAGAAATGGAGGATGATCAAATGTAGCAGTGATACTCACTAGACACTATGTTGAAAATGAACTTACTATACAACTATGAGTGGGTATGGAAGGGGAAAATTGAGAAAGAGTGTGGAAGGAGTAACATTGTCCAGAAAGAAATATACTCTTTGCCTGACTTACACCACACTTTATAATAATTTTAAAAAGGCAGTTTCCTGTCCTCATCTTACTTATCTTTTTAGTGAAATCGTTAGTAATGATGTCTTTGCAAGCATGTTTCCCCCCATGGTTTTATCTTTTCTCTTCTTGTATGTTTCTGGACCCTTCTCCTCTCTGCCCATGGTAAGTGCTGGTATTTCTGCATGGATACGAACCTGAGCCTTCTCTTCCCTCCACTCTAAGGCATATTTCTCCCCTCCCTTGTCTCAGGTAGGGCTTTTCTGAAGGAAAAAGGATAACACCTTCACCTTAAGCAGACAGAAAAACCCAGGCTTGAGTGTGGGACTCTGAGGAACTGGCCCTGCCCAGCACAACCGGGTCCACCGGGTAGAGCTTGACCCCGCCTCCCTTTTCATTAGATTACGCGCCTGGAGACACGTACAGCCAACCAGTGAAAAGGAGTGGCCTTGAGTGCTAAGCTCTTGGTTCAATCACCGATGATTCACGAGGAAGGTCTGATGTGGAACCAATGATCAGGTTGGGCGGAGCTCTGGCGGAGACGATGGTCATGTGATGTGGGATAGCTGCCTTCCCGGGCAGTGAAGGCAAAGGCTGTGATGGCGGCGAATGTGTTGACTTGGGTACAGACCGGGACGCAGTGGGCCCTGGCGATCTGGCGAATGCCGTGGCTACCGCTTTTGCTGATGGTGGCGGCGGCGGCTGCGGAGCAGCAAGTACCGCTGGTGTTGTGGTCCAGTGATCGGTGAGCAGGCCGGGTTGGGCCCGGCCGGGCTGGGCTGGGGAGGGCTGTGCTGCGCGCAGCGGCAGCTGAATCGCCTGACTCAGTGGGTGTCCTCGGCGAGAGGCCCCAATGAGGGCTGACTCTTGCTCTGGGGGCGCGCTCCACAAGTACAACGATCAGAACCCCATGTCGTGCTCATCCCATGGGCTTTGGATCTCAAGCCATGAGTCCCCGCATGACAGTACCTCTTGTGTCCCCTGTCAGGGACTTGTGGGCTCCAGCAGCCGACACGCACGAGGGACACATCACCAGCGACATGCAGCTTTCTACCTACCTAGATCCCGCCCTGGAACTGGGTCCCCGGAATGTGCTGCTCTTCCTGCAGGACAAGGTGTGCCCCTTCTTCCCTTACCTGCTCTGTCCAGGCAGACCCCCTTCCCCCGGCCCCTTCTGCAACACCCATTCCCCAAGGAAAGCTCCAGTGGTCTGTCCCGACTTAGGGACATGTGGCTGGATTCTTGGGAAGGCCTTTGGGAGAAGCTTCAGTGGAAATGGTGAGAGCCATGGAAATGGCACCAACTTAATGGGAGAAAACAAGGGATCACCAAGCACTTTAGAATGATAGGGATTATCATAGCTGTTTACAGATGAAAAGATGTGTATGAGGGTAAGTGACTTGCCCAAGGTCACACAGCTAAACGTTTGGCAGAACTGTAATTCTAATAGTAATGATCATTAAAGGAGTTCTTGGGAAAGGGCCCCTCATGTAGAGCTTCATATGCCCTGTGCTGAACGGATGTCATTATCTTGGTTCCCTGCTTGGATTTGCTGACGTTCCAGAGCTTAGAGACCGCACATTGGTTCCACCTTGAGTCCGTACTCCTAACAAATATGCTGTTTTTCCTCTACTCCAGGTCTCTGTCCCCAAAAGCAGATGTGTAGATCACAGGAAGATTCTAGGGCAGCGCCAGATTTTGGTTGGGAGACTGTCAAGTCTCTACTTGTCCCTTCCTCATTAGTGGCCTATCTGGCTCATTCTCCTTGTGCCTTTAACTCTGTTAGTGTGTCAGATGGTAGATGAGGCTGCTCACGCTTGCCGGAGTCCTTCAGGGAGGTGGCATATAATGTCAGAATGGAATTCATTCCTAGTGTTACCACTTTTCAGCCTTTGGATACATAACCTTCATAAATGATAGTTTCTGCAACTGTAAAATGAACACCACCTGCACCAGAGGACTGTGAGAAATAATCTGCATGAAACTTTGAGCTCAGGTTCCTTAGTTTTAGGAGACACTTCTGTTGATTCATTGGTGAAAGATGGAGCGCCTAGCATGTATTAGATATTGTTAAGTGTTGGGACTGTTGGAGTGAGCAGAATAAACTAAGACCCTAGCCTAGGAAGATGGCCTCACGAGGATACATTGACAAATGCTATCTGTCCATTTTATTTAGGAGCCAGTAGTTCAGTGTAGCAAAGGAAGCAGGCTAAGAGGGCAGAGGGACTGGGGACAGTGGTCTGGATAATAGTGATGGGCGATGGTATCTTGATGAGGGGAGAGAGGGAGGGAGCCATGTGGTTTTGGGAGAAGCACATTTCTGGTGGGGAAGCTTTAGGTGCAAAGACCAATGGCAAAGAATGTCTTTGGTGAGTTCAAGGAATGCTGCTGTGACTGGGGCCGCGGAGTGAGACAAAGGGGCCAGAGATGGGCTGCTAGCCTCTAGGCAGCGAGCGAGGGCTGTGTCATACATGTGGGAAGGGGGAAGGTCAGGTGCAGTGTTGAATATGGCAGAAAGCCTTGGGTAATGTAGAGCAAGACTATGGCTGGATGGACACACCACAGGCCAGCAAACAGCCAGCATTCCTGCCCAGAAAGGAGGGGAGGCTGGGCTAGTGTGTGTACCAAACAATGAGGTTAGGGAAGCTGATTAAGATAAACTCTTGACCGTACTGGAAGAAGCCAGAGAAAGGGGGGGTGGGGTAGAGGTTGGGGTAAAGGGTAAACACTAAAGGACACAGGTAGATTGTAAGGGAAGGGGCTGGGCTGGGGTTACTGTGTTCCTGAGAGCCCAGGTGACTTAAGTACTTCCTCCCACCAGAAAATGGTGGGGCAGGGGCTTCCCATCTTATAAGGATCCTGTCCAGACTGGACTCAGCTGCTTCTCCTTTGCTCTGACTTCTACTTGAATGCTCTTCCCTTCCCCCAGCTTCTCTCTTCCCTCCCCAGTTCCTCTTGTCCGCTGACTACTACGCCTGAGTTTACCACAAGACAGCTGCCCATAAGCCTCTCAACCTCATGACTGCCTTCTGTGTTGTTGCCCTTCCCTAAGAGTGCTGGAGGACAGCCTTCTGTCCTACCCCCATTCCCAGGCCCCACCTGACAGGCTATAAATGATTTTGTTCCCCTAAGAATGCACGGGGCCCCCCTGCTTTGGCTCCTTTTCCTTGGCCAATCTCCTGAGATGTCTCTTCTGCTTCCATACTAGCTAAGCATTGAGGATTTCACAGCATATGGTGGTGTGTTTGGAAATAAACAGGACAGCGCCTTTTCTAACCTGGAGGTAAGAGTTGTCTCCCAGCCCTAGGCCATGGGGAGTGCCATCCCGTGTCCCCTCTCCTAGCACAATAAGAACTGTAGTCTTCAGAGCTACATATGGGATGGTAAGGTGTGCTATACCTGCAATCTCAGCTACCTGAGAGGCAGAGGCTGGAGGATCAAGAGTTCACACCAGTCTAGGCGAAGGTAGTGAGACCCTATCTCAAAAACAAGCAAACAGGGCTGGGAAGGTGGCTCAATGGTAGAGCGCTTGCCTCGCATGCATGAGGCCCTGGGTTCGATTCCTCAGCACCACATAAGCAAAAAGAAAAAAAGCCGGAAGTGGCGCTGTGGCTCAAGTTGTAGAGCGCTAGCCTTGAGCTGAAGAGCTGAGGACAGCGCCCAGGCTGAGTTCAGGCCCCATGACCAGACCCAAAACAAAACAAAACAAAAAATAGGTGGCCGCTGGTAATCCTTACTACTTCGGAGGCCAAAAATCAAGGATTGTGGTTCAAAGCCAGCTGGGGTAGGAAAGCTGTGATACTCTTATCACCAAATAATCACAGAAAAATCTGGAACTGGAGCTGTGGTTCAAGTGGTAGAGTGCTAGCCTTGAGCAAAAGGAGCTCAGTGACAGCACCCAAGCTGAGTTCAAGGCCCAGGTCCAACAGAAAAAACAAATTTAGGTGCTGGTGGCTCATGCTTGTAATCCTAGCTGCTCAGGAAGCTGAGATCTGAGGATCTTGGTCTTATCTCCAATTAACTACCCTAAAAAACTGGAAGTAGAGCTGTGGCTCAAGTGGTAGAGTGCTAGCCTTCAGCACAAAAAGCTCAGGGACAGCGCCAAGGCCCAAAGTTCAAGCCCCAGGACCAGCATAAAAAAAATAAAAATTAAAAAAATTTAAATTAAAAATAAAAAAAAAAACAGGGTGGGAATATGGCTTAGTGGTTAAAGTACTTGCCTAGCATGCAGTAAGCCCTGGGTTTGTTTCCTCAGTACCACATAAACAGAAAAAGCAGGAAGTGGAGCTGTGGCTCAAGTGGTAGAGCGCTACCCTGTGCAAAAGAAGCTCAGGGTCAGTGCCCAGGCTCTGAGGTCAAGCCCCAGGACTGGCAAAACAAAAATGAAAACAAAAAAACACCACCACCAACAGAGAACCAAAAGGGCTATAGCTATAACTCAGTTGGCAGACTGCTTGCTTTGCATATTTGATGAGTCTGGTTGAATCCCAGTACTGGGGAGAAAACAAACAGAGGTGCTATTTTGAAAGTAGAAGGGCCTGGGATATAAGCGTCAGGAACTCTGGGGAAGGGGAACACACACGTTCTGCCTCTGTAAGACCCCTGTGTGGATGTGGCTTGCCAGGGAGGTTTGGGGGATTAGCAGGTGCCCACTGTTTCCTGCTTCACTCTTCTGCCTCTCCCCTATCCCCAGAATGCCTTGGACCTCGCCCCTTCCTCATTGGTACTTCCTGCTGTCGACTGGTATGCAGTTAGCACTCTGACCACCTACCTGCAGGAGAAGCTTGGGGCTAGTCCCCTGCATGTGGACCTGGCCACCCTTCGGGAGCTGAAACTCAATGCCAGCCTCCCTGCCCTGCTGCTCATCCACTTACCCTATACAGCCAGGTATGGCCTGGATGCCCACTTCCAGCCTCTAACCTTGGGATGCACAGAGGGGCTCGGGGCTTTGGTGGTATAGTTCATCCAAAGATGGTCATCTTCCCTCATGTACCACCTTAAAATCCTTCCAGAAGATTCCACATATGCCCAGAAGAGGCAGGAAGGACCTCCTACCACATAGTGAGCTAGAAGTAGGTGCTCAGCACTGACCTAGGCCTATTGTACCTCTGGGGACATAGCAGACATGACCCCATTTTGGGGGATCCTCCCTGCTGGCTAGTACCTGTTCAAAGAACAAGTGCCAATCTGATGCCAAGGGCTCATGGGTAATCTTACTTACTCAGGAGACTGATATCTGAGGACTGTAGTTTAAAACCAGCCCGGGTAGGGAAGCCCATGAACTCTTTATCTCCAATAAACTCCTAAAAAAGCCAGAAGTAAGCTGGGCACTGGTGGCTCACACATGGAATCCTAGCTACTCAGGAGTTTGAGATCTGAGGATTGTGGTTTAACTCCAGTCTATCAGGCTTTTTTTTTGGTGGGGGTCGGGGGTCGGTCATGGGGCTTTAACTCAGGACGGACCTGAGTGGGTCTCTGAACGTTTTTTTTTTTTTTTTTTTGGTTGGTCATGGGGCTTGAACTCTGGGCCTGGGCACTGTCCCTGAGCTCTTCAGCTCAAAGTGAGTGCTCTACTACTTGAGCTACAGCACCACTTCCGGTTTTCTGGTAGTTAATTGGATGTAAGAGTCTCAGGACTTTCCCGCCTGGGCTGGCTTTGAACTGCTATCCTCAGATCTCAGCCTCTTGAGTAGCTAAGATTATAGGCATGAGCCACTGGCGCCTTGCCCTCAAGACTGTTATTTCCAGTAAACTATTCAGAACAAGGAAGAAGTGGTGCTGTGGCTCAAGTGGTATAGAGTGCTAGCCTCGAGCATAGAGGTTCTGGAGTTCAGTCCCTGAGTTCAAGCCCCAAGACTGTCAAAAAAGTCAGAAGTGGAGCTGTGGCTCAAGTGATAAAGCACTAGCCTTGGGCAAAAAAGAAGCTCAGGGACAGTGCCTCAGTCCTGAGTTCAAGCCTCAGGACCAGCACAAAAAACAGCATGTGACAAGACACTTGAACCTGACTGCAAAGCCAGAGGAGAGGAGAAATTGGAGTATAGTGGGTTGCTGGCAAGGAGAGGCAGCTGCAGGGGCTGTGGGGAGGGTAGTGGGCTTCAGAGAGCTCTTGTAAGCCAGCTGTTTGCACTTGAGGGCCGAGTCACCTACTAGGATCTCAAGCTGTGTCTCCTTCATAGCTCCGGTCTGATGGCGCCCAGGGAAGTTCTCACAGGCAATGGTGAGTGGTGCCAGGGAGGATTCATGTCCTCATTTTGCCCATACACCTGGATCAGAGAGCTGCCCACAGCTCCTTAGCCTTCCCTCACTGTCTCTCAGGGACTGCTGGACAGGATAATGACTGTTCCCTGGCCATGTCCTGCTAGAGCCAGATCCACCTGGCAGAGGTGTATAAGCTAGAGGCCAGGGATCCAGTCTCTGCTCAGGCCAGGTGAATCCGGAGTTTTGGACTTAAAATGAGTAACATTGAGAAAAACAAAAGGATTGTTTTTGCTATGAAGGGCAGTCCTCCACGGACATGCAGTTCTATATGCATACATACAACTGTGTGTGTGTGTGTGTGTGTGTGTGTGCGCGCGTGCGTGTGCGTGTGTACGTGTGTACACACATTGCTTTTAACATCATGCAGAAGGTCTCTAAGGCGTGTGGTAGGAAGTGTTGCTTTATGCGGGCTGCTCAGTGACCTGCTTCTCTGCTCTTATCACCCTTCAGATGAGGTCATTGGGCAGGTGCTGAGCACACTCAAATCTGAAGATGTCCCGTACACAGCAGCTCTCACAGCTGTCCACCCTTCCAGGGTATGTGGCCTTCCAGCAGAGTTCGGGGGAATATAGGGCAGGAAGATGACTCTGGTGGGATGACCCTGGGGAGGACTAGTTGGTGTTAAGTCTTGTTTTCTCTATCCCGAGGGCAGCCCTCCATCTTGTTTTGTGATTGGGCAGCATTCTTAGATGCTCAGTCCAAGTGATCTTGAGTTAGAGGTGGAGGGAATATGATCAGTACTAGGGAACAATGTGGGCAAGCTGGAGGAAAAGCTTCCTCTGACCAGGTGGGACTTTGAGCTAGTGGATAGGCTTCTCATTGGAGAGGGAAGGGAAGGTGTGCTGGTGGGTTAAGTCTTAGTCCTAGGGCTGTTAAAAGAAGGCCTACTGGGTGTTTCTGCAGGTGACCCGTGATGTAGCCATGGTGGCTGCTGGGTTAGGCCGCCAGCTGCTTCAAACACAGACAGCAGCACCAACTGTGGTCCATCCTCCTGTGGTTTATAATCGCACTGTGCCACGGATTTTGTTCTGGGCCCAGAACTTCTCTGTGGCATACAGTGGCCAACTGGAGGACCTGACCCACCTCACCTTTGGGGTGCAGGACCTCAACCTGACTGGCTCCTTCTGGAATGACTCCATGGCTTGGTAAGAGTTTTAGGGGGTCAGTGGGGCAAACTCACTGCTAAGACTGGGGAGGGAGGGGGTGGGAATGGGTCAAGCTTGGCTCCTAGAGCTGTTGAGAGGCGGCTGGTGGGTGTTTTTGGGGGGGGACCATGCTGCCACGTGGCCTTCTGCCACTGGATAGATCTGGGTCAGGGCAGGAAAGCCAGGGTCAGGTGTGTGGGTGGGGGGTAAGCATGAGGTCAGCTGTGAAGTGTAGGTGGCATTGAGGTGTGTACTGATGGGCTGCTAAAGGGGGAGCTCTCAGAGTTCTGCTTTCCTGTGCTCTGTAACCCTTGGTTGGAATCTGAGCTATTAACAGCACAGGACCACCCGGGAACCTGGCCCTTGCCCATTGAGTACCAGCTCTGAGTCTGCATCATGGGTGAATACTAGACCAGCTGCCAGAGCCAGCTCCTATATCCTCCATTTTTCACGACCCCCAAAGCCCAAAGCAGGCAGCTCAGCAACCCCAAGAGGTTGCTAAAAGAATGATGGGCAATAGAGTCAGAGAAACCAGAGGAAGGAGTCCTGGAGGTGCGGGACTTGGGTGTTGGCTCCCAGCTCTGTTCCTGGCTTCATTAGGATTGAGCCTAAGATTTCCCCATCTGTCAGGTGAGGACACGGCCTGTAGATGGTTGTAAGGACCTAGGGCAGCTTAAGTAAGAGAAAACCTGCTGGGCACCCGTGGCTCACGCCTGTAATCCTAGCTGCTCAGGAAGCTGAGATCTGAGGATCAGGGTTCAAAGCCAGCCTGGACAGGAAAGTCTGTGAGACTCTTATCTCCAATTCACCACCAGAAAACCAGAAGTAATGCTTGGCTCAAGTGGTAGAGCGCTAGCCTTGAGCTGAAGAGCTGAGGGGCAGCATCCAGGCCCAGAGCAGGCCCCAGGGCGGGCAAAAAAAAAAAAAAAGGGAAAATCTGAGGGACTTACTCCTCTAACCTGCTCTGGAGAACCCCGGGAATGTGGCTCAGGTGGCAAAGCACCAGTCTAGCAAGCAGTAGGTCCTGAATAGGAATCCACGTACTGCCCAAAGTTCATTCATTATTTGACCTGGAGGCATGGTTCAAGTGGTTGAGCCCTTTCCTAGCAAGTGCAAGGCTCCCAGAACTACAACATAATGAAATTAAGTAAGCAAATCAATCACTCAAGGCCCTCCTAGAGCCTGACAGCACCCTTCTCCCTCATCCTACAGGCTTTCACTGACCTACGAACAGCTCTTCGGTACAGTGGTGACATTCAAGTGAGTCCTGGGGGTAGTTGTGCTGGTGGTGGGGCTGATGTGGCTCTGGTCTTCCCTGCCCCCCCTGACATCATTACTGCCCCTCCCTCAGGTTCATCCTGAGTAACCGATTCTACTCAGTATCTGCCCGACACTGGTTTACCATGGAGCGCCTCGAAATCCACAGCAATGGCTCTGTTGCTTCCTTCAACACTTCCCAGATCACAGGACCCAGCATCTACTCCTTCCATTGTGGGTATGTCAGCAGTGCTCGCAAGAGTGGCAACCTCCTCGTGGCGGCCACGGAGCCCTCCCTCTGGCATATTACTCTTCAGGACTTCCAGGTATGGAACAGGAAGGGAAGGAGGGTGGGCCTGGAATGTCAGCATGGCTTGGGCATGGAGTGGACAGTCCTGTATACTTCCTGTCTGGATATGTGGACTGTGCACCGACTAAGACTGCAGCCCTGGCTGGGCATCCTGTCTGACCTGTGTCCCTATGTTCCCGCAGATCCAGGCTTTCAATGTGACAGGTGAGCAATTCTCCTATGCCAGTGACTGCGCCGGCTTCTTCTCCCCTGGCATCTGGATGGGGCTGATCACCTCCCTCATCATGGTTTTCATCTTTACCTACGGCCTGCACATGATACTCAGCCTCAAGACCATGGATCGCTTTGATGACCATAAAGGCCCCGCCATCTCTTTAACCCAAATTGTGTGAGCTGTGGCACGGAGATGGTCACTTTCTCACCCTGTGGATCCCCTTTTCCTACGTACGGATAGCATGAATCTCCTATTGCCCTCAGCCTGTCTTGCTTCCTCCTCCACTTGCTGAGGGCTTTTCCTGGGGCTGCCCCACCATTCCTATCAAGATGTATATATTCTGCATAGACCTGAAGACAGCTCTCAGATTCAGAGTCCTAAAGTGTAAGGGACATTAGTGCTAGGGTCTCATTTCTTATTTATTCTGTCGGTCCACCATTGTAAGTGCATTGTAAGTGCTTTTTGTGTAGGTGTAGCGTATGCTTCCTTCAGAAACTTTCTGGGACTCTGCTGCAGCCAGAAGCCTGAGGTTGTTTGTGAGTTTGGGAGCGTGTGGAAATACTACTCAACTGTCTGCCTAGCTCGGCTAGCATCATAATTTTTATTTTTGTGATGTGATAAGAATAAACAGTACATCTGATTTCTTTCTGTGGCCTGAAAAAGGGACCTTCACGACAGGTGGGCTGAGTGTGCTCACTGGGTGTCTGTCATGTTCCCACTAGGAGTGCCTGGCAGGAGCTTGGGGTGCTCTTATTATTCCCTTCCTAATAAAAATAAGGTCAGATCACCATTTCCTGTCCTCTCGGTTACTTATTTCATGCCCTTGGCTAAGGGGGGTGGTGCCGGGCCAAGCCCCCATGGGAGACCGGGAGGTTGGAAGGGTCTCTAGCGAGCTGGGACCTTCACCAGTCGTGGGAATGGAGGGCAAGTCGAGGCCGAGTCCATCCTTGTGCTTCGACATCTTGGGAGGAGCTCGCCCTGACAATGGCAGCTCTTACCTCGCGAGCCGGCGGCAGCGAGTCCCCCTCTGCGGCAGCGGCGCGCGTCCAGCCTACGGGGCCGCGCCGAATCTCCCAGGGGACGTAACAGGCGCGCGCCGGGCGGGGCGGGGCGGGGCGGGGCGCGCGCGGCTCCCGCGCAAGGATCCCTCGTGGGGCGCAGCACTGACCACCAGTCCGCCCCGCCCCACACCTGTCTGGACCCTCAGCGAGTGGCATCGCCGGCATAACTGAGCTAGTGCTGGGAGCCAGACGCTAGTAGTCCTTTTAGGAGACAAAGAGGGAAAGCTGTGGCCCCTGTGAGGAGGGACTGGTCGCGGGGAAAGGACGGGACTCTTTGACGCGGCGGAGGGGTCCGGTGACGGCCCGGCGCCGCCATCTTTGGTTCAGTGCGGCGGCGGCGGAGTCGGTAACGGCAGCTGTGGTAAAGGAGGAGGTGGAGCCGAGCGGGCGCTGGCACTGACACGGACACTGGCACCGAAGCCTGACCATGGACGAGGAATACGATGTGATCGTGTTGGGGACCGGCCTTACTGTAAGTGAAACCTTAAGCGCTCTTCGCAGCACATCACTCCCTCTCCACCTCCGACGGCCGTGCGGACCTCGGCCGCGGGACCCATCTTCCCCATTATTGCTATGTTCCATTCGGGTTTCCGCTACCATGTCCCTGAATAGGGTCCGTCGCAGGCCGCCCTCTTCCAAACCCCCTCCCGTCCTTCTTACCTTGGCCTGTTGGACGAGAAAACTCACCCCCCACTCCACTCGAAGCCCCCAGACCCCGCCCACCTAGCCCCCACCCATCAGCTGCTTGACATCCCCTCCCATCATCCCCTTCCATCTTGTGTTCATCTCGGTGGGGATGAGGTCTGAAGCCGCGAGGGTTGAGGGCCTTGCCTGGGTTGGCCTTCATCTTGCCTCTCTGGGGGGAGGGGGGGGCAGGCACCCAGAGAACGTTCCAGAAGCTGCAACAGTAACCACATTCCTACTCCCCCACCCAGGTTTCCTATGGAGACCTCAGGCTGAATAGTATCTGCAGCCTTTGTCCTTGAGTTAGTGACAGTTACTGTACGGGTTGTTTATCTTTCTCTTTTTTTCCAACCCCCATTTTGGCTTGCTCCCCTGAGATTCATCTCCCTCATTCTGGACCCAGACACTTTCCCCATGAATATGGCCCAGAAGGCACAGCCAGGAGCTCCTGCCCTTTGAAAAGCAGCCCAGGGTGGGGCCTGAGATTTCAAGGACTGACCTAATCATCACTTCCCTTTCACTTGCCCTTTGAGGTGGGGATGGGTCTTTACCCTTGGCTCCCTGTCTTTTATCTGTCTTTTTGTGCTCCTCTAAGTAGATGACTTTCTTGCAGCTTGATGCTAGAAGACTGTGCTTGTGTCTGCTGCGTGTTTTCTCTCCCTCAGAGCTTCCATTGCTTCGCTTCTCTTCACCTCTTTGCTCAGCAGCATTATAAAGGAGATTGTGCTCAGAGGAAGTGATTTATTGCTCCTAATTTCAGTAGTGAACCGGGTGGGGTTGTGTTGAAAGAGCCGTCCATTTGGCTGGTTTGTGGTGAGGCACAAATCAAAGCTGCTGATAGGAACATGGGCAGGAGGGAGTTAACAGCAGCAAATGTCACTCCTCCCCCAGGAATGCATCCTGTCAGGCATCATGTCTGTGAACGGAAAGAAGGTGCTGCACATGGACCGCAACCCCTACTATGGGGGAGAGAGCTCCTCCATCACACCTCTGGAGGAGGTAAGACTGCTTATTCAAGGCCCAGATTCAACCTCTCACAGGGGCATGGGTCAGAGCAGCTCCTCAAGTTCTCAACAGGAATGTAGGAAGGGTAGTCCTTGAGGTTTTTCTCTTTTTTTCCCCTTCTGTTTACAGCTTTATAAGCGTTTCCAGTTGCTGGAGGGGCCCCCTGAGGCCATGGGCCGGGGTCGAGACTGGAACGTTGACCTGATCCCCAAATTCCTCATGGCCAATGGTGAGGAAGATAAAGGAGATATTGGAGTGGGGAGAGGACGGGGCGGGGGGGGGGGGGGGGGGGGGGAGGGCGCTGGGAGGACCAAAGGAAAGCAGGCTCCAGAGCACGGGCAGTCAGATCAGTGAGAGCTGCCAGAGGGAGCCATGTTGATGTTGCTTCTCCCCACTCCTCATCCTCCCACAGGGCAGCTGGTAAAGATGCTACTGTACACAGAAGTGACTCGCTACTTGGACTTCAAGGTGGTTGAGGGCAGCTTTGTCTACAAGGGAGGCAAGATCTACAAAGTGCCATCCACTGAGACTGAGGCCTTGGCTTCTAGTGAGTATGGGCCCTCTGAGCCAGAGCCAAGCTTCCCTTTGCCCAAGGTCACATTCTGCACGTGTAGTTACCACAGGCCACTTGCTTTGCAGTTCCTCTATTGTTCTTGGTTGGCACAGCAGGTTGCCAGCAAGCAAACCTACAAGTAGAGGCAACACTGGTGGGGGGGGGAGCAGGGAAGCGGGTGGAATCCTTTTTTAAAAAATGTCAGCTTTTGGCAAAGGTTCCCCTTGATCTCAAAATATCTCCAAGTGGTAGAGCTGGGAGAACTTTGTCCTGCCCAATCCCCTCTTTATGCAGATAGGTAAAGTGAGGCAAAGAACAGTAGAGAGATTAACCTCAGGTCATGTGAAGAGCTCAGGTAGGAGCTAGGGGGCCCTCTTTTTTTTTTGTCGGTTGTGGGGGCTGAACTCTGGGCCTAGGAACTGTCCCTCAGCTCTTCAGCTCAAGGCTAGCGCTCTACCACTTGAGCCACAGTGCCGCTTCCGGCTTTTTTCTGTGTATGTAGTGTTGAGGAATTGAACCCAGGGCCTCATGCATGCAAGGCAAGCACTCTACCACTGAGCCACCTTCCCAGCCCCATGGCACCTTCTTTCTTAGACTGCCCCGGTGGGGGTTTGTCAAGTGGTGCAGAGTCTCATGATTCCCTCTATAGATCTGATGGGCATGTTTGAAAAACGACGCTTCCGCAAGTTCCTGGTATTTGTGGCAAACTTTGATGAGAATGACCCCAAGACCTTTGAAGGTGTTGACCCCCAGACTACCAGCATGCGTGATGTCTACCGGAAGTTTGACCTGGGCCAGGATGTCATCGACTTCACTGGCCACGCATTGGCACTCTACCGCACTGATGAGTGAGGGGAAGCTGGTGTGGCGGGAACCCACTTGCCTCTCCCACACCCTGCCCTCCCCACACCTGCCTGCAGCACCTGCTCTCCCCCCTGCATGTACCTTGTGTTCACTGCAGGCTCACACGTTGCCTTTCCATCCTTCCCTGCATTCACTCCACATCTTTCCCAGCCCGTGTGGGGGGTGGGAAGGCTGTGCAGCTGCCTGGGTTAGGGTGTGTACAGATGCTGCTGCTGAGCCTCTTCCCTGACTCCTATCCTCCAGCTACTTGGATCAGCCCTGTCTTGAGACTATCAACCGCATCAAGTTGTACAGCGAGTCATTGGCCCGATATGGCAAGAGCCCATATTTATACCCACTCTATGGCCTGGGTGAGCTTCCCCAGGGCTTTGCCAGGTGAAGACAAACTTTTGTTTCAGTTGACATGATTACTTAGGACTAAGGCCGAAAATGGAAATGGGCTCTTTGAGCATTCCTGTAGCGTTTCATACTTGGTTCTTTGTGATCTTCATTTCCTTCTCTTCATTCCTGGGTGATGGGGGGCGGGGCACAACCCTAGTGTGTTGAAGTGCAGAGTCAAAGACAGTTCTCCATGGAGATGGCTTGCTCAGCTTCTGGAAGCAGTAGCACTGGGCCATTTTTTCTTTCTTTTTTTTTTTTTTGGGTCCGGTCGTGGGGCCTGAACTCTTGGCCTGGGTGCTGTCCCTCAGCTCTTCAGCTAGCACTCTACCACTTGAGCTAGCACTCTACCACTTGAGCCACAGCGCCACTTCCGGCTTTTTTTTTTTTTTTTTTTGCTTATGTGGTGCTGAGGAATCGAACCCAGGGCCTTAAGCATGCAAGGCGAGCACTCTACCACTAAGCCAACTTCTCAGCCCTGGGCCATTTCTTGTGGAATTGTTCCTTCATGCTACCCTCACTAACCCTTTGCAGAATATTCTGGGTAGAAGCTCCAAAGAAGCTGGAGATGGCTCCTGAGTTTATAGCAGTGAGAAATCTGGGATGAACTACTGGATTTTCTGACTTCCTCCTGCTTCTTTTTTGTTGGTGGTGGTGGTTGTGGGGCTTGAACTCTGGGCCTGGGCACTGTCCCTGAGCCTATTTGTGCTTAAGTCTACTGCTCTAGCACTTGAAGCCACAGCACCACTTCCAGTTTTCTGTTGGGTAATTAGAGATTAACGTTTCACGGGCTTTCCCACCCAGGCTGGCTTTGAATCAGGATCTTCACATTTCAGGCTCCTGAGTAGTTAGGATTACAGTTGTGAGCCACCAGCGTCCGGGTGGGGCAGTCTTTTTTATACCTCAGTGGTGGGTGGGTAGGGTGCAGTGGAATTGGTCCCTGTTGTTCCTGGGAGTGGGATTCTGCTATCATCTCCTTCCTACAGATTGAGTGCCATCTATGGGGGAACATACATGCTGAACAAACCTGTGGATGACATCATCATGGAGAATGGCAAGGTGGTAGGCGTGAAGTCTGAGGGAGAGGTAAGCCTTCCATGTGCAGTGATGTTACTGTGCTTGGGGAAGAGTTTGGTCACCTGCTTTGGGACTCTGTTCCCAAGGAGCCCGAAGGCTGCTGTGTCTGCTGATGCTCAGCCCCAAGGACCTCAGAGTGGAGAACTAGATATTCCAAAGGAAGTCTGC